AAAAAAGAATATCCAGTTGCCTCCTGAAAAATCACCTTTGGGATATGCATATGGTATATTGATTGTTGACTTGATGTCTTCTCATTCATTTTTAGGCTCTTTATTGTAAAGAAAAGGAGTGTAGTACAGTAGTTAAAGCATCAAAGTAGAAACCAGGAGATTCTGAATTCTACTCTTGCCTTAGACATTAATCCAACTGGGTGACCTTGGGCCAGTCGCTGCCTCAGCTCTAGGCAGGAGGCAATGGCAAACTACTTCTGGAAAACCTTTACAAAATAAACTACAGAGATTAGTTTAGACTGCTGTCAGGAGTCAACAATGAACTCAAAGGTGTGTGTGCACATGTGCACCCTCACTTACAATTTATTTTCAAAAGTGCTAGGAATCACAAAGTGCAAGCACTTTAGTTTATTCAACATAAATCATATTAGATACAAACTTAACATAAATAATATTAGATATAATAAAAAAACACTATAATAAATTATTATATAGTTCCTTTTATACTGCAGCCTGGTAGAGGAAATTAATCAGAGATTTGATAAAAAAATATCCATGTTTCAGATTAATGTATGCCATATATCCCAATTTACTGTCTTTACTGGATGAAGTCCTGGTGAATGTTTTGCCTCTGAAAGCCTAAGCTAGCTACTTTTCATTTTTGAGATCTCATAGGTGAAGTGCTTAGAAAACAAGCTGCATTAATAATTAGCTTGAAGCACTATTTATTTCCTGAGAGCCGCCCACAGTCCACTGAGCAGCCTTTTAGTTTCTTGAAGACTTTCCCTATCGGATCCCCTTCTTATGACTGCCTGAATACTTCACTAACCTGTTGGACTTTAAGGGAGGCTTCGCCTGGACTTGCTGGGACCTATTAATTTCCCTGTTTTAGGACACACGCACAGAGAGAGTCGGTCTTTTTATATCATGTGCTGAGAAAAGCTGCTTGCCAGAGGGCCTTCTAGCAATTGGTCTGTGGGAGTCTGCTATATATTGAGTAGGAAAATATTTTTCTGAGTGTGTGAAATATTCCTTTTTCATTAGCCCTCAAAAATATTCCTGTTTCAGCAAAGAAGCATAATAACGTGCAGCAATTTTCAAATTCTCTGTTAGGAGAAGGCAGGGGTGAGGAGGTTAAATGCCATTGCTTTGAATGTGTTCTCTGATTGAAATATGAATTAATTCTATCAATTCCACACTGTGTAGAATTGCAGATTAATGGAGAATTTTAGGCTCCAAAATAAACCAAAAAATTGGGTTTGCAAGTATGTATGCATATATACATGTATGTATGCATGCATGCATGCATGTACATGTGTATTGTTTATTTGACTTGTTTGTTGCCCGTCTTGACTACAGGTGATTAAATACAGTAATACTTTTTTAATAGTATGCATATATATTTGTGGATAAGCCCATTTGTAGATAAACAGACTGAAATTTTTAACCAAAATACCCTGAAAACTGTGCCACGTATGGATCAACCAATTGTGAAAACTAAAACATAGAAATATTTCAAAGGTTGGCTTATCTGCAGGTGGCACAGTTTTCAGGGTATTTTGGTTAAAAATTCCAGAGTTGGCCCATTTCCCTGTATATATAATTGTTTCAGAAATTAGCTAACTACAGGATGGTTTTAGCTTAGGTGTTTGATGGAATTGTATTTGTGGAAAAGAGCAAGTTCACATTCTGAAGACCATCAGGGGTATCAAACTCGATTTCATTGAGGGCTGCATCAGGGTTATGTTTGATCTCGGGGGGGCGGGGGGCAGCTTGATGTCACTTGTGTCAGGTTTGGCACCTGTGGTGGCCAAGTGCTAAGGCAAGACTTCCCTCAGACCCACCCTCCCTCTCATTATAACCTCCTTCCTTCCTTCTTTTCTTTTTCCTTCCCTCTTCATTCTCCTTTCTTCTTCCTTCCCCCTCTTTCCTTATTTTTCCTTCCTTGCTCTCTTCCCGTCTCCCCTTCTTTTTTTTAATCTTTCCTTTTTCCCTTTCTCCTTTCCTGTCCCTTGGTTGCTCAAATGCAAAAGGTGAAACATTTCTCCTTTTGTTTTGTTTTGCTTTTAATTTGTTTTGCTAGCATCTGCTGGCGAAAAGGGAGCTCGGGAGGATGGCCGCGAGTTCTGTTTTCACTGGCAGAGGCACAGCGGGCCAGACCTTTGTTGTTTTCAGGGCAGCCCGTGGGCCAAATCTAAGCACCCTGCAGGCTGGATCTGGCACATGGGCCTTGAGTTTGATACCCCTGCTCTAGTTAGAAAAGCCAAGAAGGCCTTTGTTCAACTTCAGCAAATGACTTTCCTGGAATGGTGGGGTGGGGGCACATTGGAGACATTTACTGATATCATTGTCACCTCTTGACTGGACTATCACAGCTCACTCTACGTGTGGCTGCCCTTGCAAGCAGTTTGGAAACATCACAACTTTACTGTGGGAGCTGCCCTGGTGACTAGCCTATAATTCAAGGTTCAGGTCATTTGCCTGTGAAGCCCTGTACGGCTTGAGATCCAGGTAGCTTCAAGGCTGCTTATTGTAAATAGATCCTACTTATAAATATACATAAGCAGGGTAGGTGTGCATGCTGGGTATACCCATTACTGGGAAGTCCAAAGGAGGCTTGGAAACTTAACACTTTGTGTGTGTGTGTGGGGGGGGGGTGTTCCCTTCCTCTAAAGTAGTCTCTTTTCCCTCTCCCCCAAAATTAGATCTGAGCTTCCATGATAATGTTGAGAAAACTTGAACATGGCTGTTTTAAAGAGCCTTGGGGGCATGATGGAATGTAGAATTTCCACTTGAACTTTGTATTCTGTTTTGAGTTGATTGACTTTGACACACAAGACAGTATACCTCGGGAATAGCTTTGTAGATCCTGAAGTGTGTGCAGGACATGAGATGTGCAAAGATCAATTTGTGCTAGCAGACAACCAACCACTGATTATTAAAATAGTGTTGTGGACCATTGGCTGCCAAAAATATATATTCTCAACTCGTCAGGCGTGTTGTATTAGTTCTTCTGCTACTATTCTTCATTTCAACTTCCTTGTAATATCTACTTCATTTTTTTCCAACACTCTCCCCTGAGGAGTTGTTGCACAATATATGAAAAATTTATTATTTTTCTGCTTTCCGTGAGCCTTTGTCAGAGGAATATTCCTCCATCCCCATCTCCCACTAACTCTTTCAGCTGTCGGGCATAATACACTTTGCATTTCATTTATATGCTGTGCCTTTAAAGTCATGTCTCTGACTGCCAAGGTTTTGTCATCTTTTTGCTCATTTGTCTTTTTTTAGACTTGGTTCTACTATCAGCTTTAAAAAAGTTTAGGGGTGGGGGCAGCATAATTCAGAATATATTTCTCCCCCCTTGCAATCCATTAGAAAATATTAATGAAACGTAATTGTAGAATTACATAGGTCAAAGGGTTTAGAATAATAATTTCAGGTAGGTAGATTTGACTCTTTCACCTTTTAAATGCTAGAGAGATTTCTTCCCACCTGCACATCTGAATTGACTATGTTAGAGAGAAGGAACTCAGTGACATTTCTTTTCACCTTTGAAGGGTTTCATAAGCATTAATACGTTTGTAACATGACTGGGGAATGAGTAGGCTTCTCTCCTTCACAACTGAGAACTCTGAAATCAGAAATAACTGACAAACTCATTAAAAGTGAGTCAGTTTCAAAACTTACCTGACTTCTGGTTTTTCTAGCAGGCAGTAAGGTAATATTCTGTAGTAATACTTCATTTGAGTCCAGAAACATCTAGGGATGGGATTAACCTCTTCTCTTCAGGAAGAAGGACAAGATTACAAACATTTTCATTATAAAGAATATTAAGTAACACTTCTGTGATCAGCTGATACTCCCTAGATGGGAGACTGCCCTAATCCTGTCAGTTTCTGTTGTTTATTGACTTGATTCGGCATGTATTGGCTGCATTCCAGCTGCAACAGTTAAGTGGTTCTTGGCTGTCTGCTCAGAGCTATTAACTGAAGGGAGAGAGGGAAAAACCTCTCTTGCACTTTATTTTTAGCCTGTTCTCCAAACTGCATAAGCAATTAACTAACGGTTGGGTGAGAACCGGCTGAATCTCACCTGTGGCTTAGTAATCTATTAGTTTTACAATGCTGTTGGAATAGTTTTTCTGTAATATTTTGTTTACTGAGCCAGTCTGGTCTAGTGGTTAAGATATTGGGCTAACATTGTTTTTGTGTTTATACACCTAGTCCTCTATTTACAACAGTTTGTTTAGTGACTGTCTGAAGTTACAACGGCACTGAAAAATGTGACATGACCGCATTTCATACTTACGACTGTTGCAGCATCCCGATAGTAACGTGATCAACATTCAGATGCTTGGCAACTGACTCATATTTATGACGGTTGCAGTGTCCCAGGGTCATGTGATCTTCTTTTGCAACCTTTTGACAAGAAAAGTCAATGGGGAAGCCAGATTTACTTAACAGCCACGTTACTAACTTGACAATTGTAGTGCTTCACTTAACAACTGTGCAAGAAAGGTCATTAAATGGGAAAAATTCACTTAACATATGTTTCGCTTAGCAACAGAAATTTTGGGCTCAAAATTTGTGGTCATAAAGTCGAGGACTATCTATACAAACACTTAACATTTACTTTCCACGTTCGTACATTTTATTCAAACAAGCTAATAGATCTTGCATTTTAAACTTTCAAATTTTCTAGGACTACGAAATGTTTCTCACTTCTTCCATCTTGTGTATTTTTTCCTCTTTAAAAATTGTGCTGATTCATTTATCAGCACTCTTTGATATGAGCGATAGCCAAAGCAGTAATGAGACATTACTACTAAGTATTACAAATTATTGAACCAGGAACATTAATTGCTCTTTGCATCTGCTTGCTGAGGAGCAATTAGATTTATCTCAAGCATCTTCAGTGCCTGTGCTATGAGCTGACATTAGTCCTTGTAGGTAAAATGGGACCCAAATTAATGTTGTTGTTTTTTAAAAAAAATGCAGGAATTGCCTTGAGGCTCCTGGACCACAGTGGAATGCTGAATAAGGTGAGGTTGTAAAAAGACATGTAATTGTACTCAAGAGACCACAATGACTTTTCTGGAACGCTAATATGTTATAGGAAACAGAAAAAAATATGATCAGAACTTTTGAACATCTTTACCTTGGTATCTACAGCTAAGTGAAAAGGTTTGCATCTCTTTTTTAATCGGTTCTTTCCCACTTCCCCATCTTTTCTCTAGTTCCGAATTTGCAAAAATAAAAGATTATGTGCCAGGTCTGTTATGCCAGTGTTTAGATTCTGTCAGTTTTTTTACTGGTTGCAGAGTTTTTATGAAGGTTACCTGGGGATAATTAATGGACTAAAAGGAAGGTAGTTCCATTAAATGTATACTTCACATTTTCTTTGTTATTGTCTCTCAGAAAATAATTGATATCCTTTGCCTATTGTCAATGATTTATGTTTATTTGCAAATGTTACATTCACCTGTGGCTGTGTGTATAATGTCAAATCTTAACAGCAGTTTCTTGCCTGATAAAATCGAATGCCACTATTTTATCAAATAGAAAAATATGAATATAATGTAAGTTTTTTTTAAGCAGATACTTGGAAGTCTTGAATGAGTTGAATTACATTTATTATAAAAGGATCTCTGTACCTAGGATTCCCTAAACTCAGAAATGTCAATAGGCTGATTAATGTATCACTGCTGCTGGCATAATGCAATGTGCTATATGTTAATACTTAAATGTGAATGGAAAGAATATGGATCTTTAGCAACTATGCTTGCTTCCATGTACATTTCTTTAAAAAAATAGCAATATTACTTTATATCTGTAGTATTAAAGTAGAACAGCAGAAATTATTGATACCATTCAATATTGTGACAGGGGTTTGCAGTTTGTTCTTACTGAAGGATCAGTTCTGCAATCTATATTTGTTTATGTATGCTCACTTATGTTGATTTAAACAAGGTGGAAGGGAAAGAGATTTCTACCATGGTGTCTCCGAAGTGTGCCTTACTCATTATCAATACGACTTATTTCTTTTGTTACAGTTTTTTTTCCTTTTCTTTCGTTTTGTTTAATAGGTAATGCCCAACACCAGCATGTCAGTCCATCTTTTTCAAAACCACAGATCCAATTTGTACCAATTTAAGCAAGGTAGTACAAGATGCCACTGTCAGCTTGGAAGCCATTTTTCTTTGAGGCTTCTGAGCTGCCACATTCAGTGCCTGGGAATTTGGGAGGAGGATTTCAAGGAGTGGTGGAAAATTTGCCACAACAGCATTCCTTTCTCAGAAAGTCAAGGACAAGTTACTCTGCACCTGGATGGGAGTGACTAGGGAGAGTCTCCAGTTGGAACGAAGTAATGATTGGACCATGTAATGAACTATTGGGTGTAGGGGTTGGATTTTGGGTTTTCTTTGAGTTAGGGAAAACCTGGAACTTTCAGATTCGGGTTTCCCCCAAATGTGCCAAATGACATCCCTAATAAAATGGATCTTTGGGAAGAAGATATTCTCGGAATCTTTTTCTCTGGAAAAAGATTTTTACTTAGAATGCTGACATTAACCCAAATCTCTAAAACTTCAACCAGCTCCCCCAAACCCAGGACCTGAGCCCCAAATGCCAACCTGCCTAATGGGCAGCGTGAAGACTCAGGGAAGATTGACACTCACCCAATTAAAGCTTGTTATCTGTCAAGAAGACACTTAAACATATACTTCAATTAATCTATTGAAATAAATAGGTCCTAAGAGTGATTAGTATTAATTTAACAATACCAACTATGTGGGAAGATTGCAAGATTTTTTTTATGGAATTTGGTACACTGGATATTGAAGCTATAAATCTATAACAACAAGAATTAGCCTTTTGTTGTCTTTTCATCATTCTTAACTGCATAATTACAAATTTGGACTTTTATTTTTGAGCCAAATGCTTTTGACTCCAGCTTTTTTTTTTTAAATTAAAAAATAACATTCTAGTGTAACATCTTGCTATTCATGTTTGCTGAGTTAATTTGTCTGCAGGTTGACAGATGAAAACTTATGGGGTGTGGGTTGATAGCTGTAATATTTTTAGTACTTGTTGACATTATTGTGGACTTTGTTTCTGTGGGAAGCTGAATAGCATCATTTGGTTAGTCTGGCATTACTCTGAACTGTTGCTAAGCTGACTTTTCCTGCCAGCCGTCAGGATGTTGGGACAGTGTTGTTTTCCTAATGTAAATGTACCCATTAATTTTTAGACTCTGCAGCTGTCTCAGCTGAACAGTGAAACAGACAGGGATTGGTAAAATACCCAATGCCTGCCAATGTCTGTTTACATTTAGGGTTGATCTCCCTAAATTGGGTTCATCAATTAAAAAAAGGAAGCTTTTAAGTTATGAACATTCAGTGCACAGTTCCCATCAATGGTTTGTACTGTGAATAGGTTCTCATGCAAGAGTTCATTCGCTGGAAATACTTGTCCTTTTTGACCTTCCAACAATTTTGGCTGGAGCAATAAATCAAATCTGAGGATTTAAGTCTTCTCCATCTTGGCCATTGGCCACGAATAATATTCTTTTCCATACATCTGTGACTAGTTCTATTGTTTGTGTAAAATATAAAAGGTTAGAGACTACAGAGAACTTACTAATGGAAGATTTAATTTCTATTTGTTAATACATAATTTGTTCTGAAAAATAGAACATAATTTGTTTGGGGGTAGAAAAGTGTCTAAATGTCATGGAGGCCCTGGCAATTATTCTTAGGCATTGCTCACTGATTTGACTAGAACAAACTCTTGGAGAAAGTTTTAAAAATGGGTGACTTGTTTTATCAGACAAAATATCTCTCAAATATATCAGGTGTGTATTCTACCCAGGATATCTGTGTGTGTGTATGTGAGTGAAAAAACCTACTAAAATAAAATCTATTGAAGTTGCAGCATTTAATTCCCCAGGTGGATTTTTAATTTGCTTTTACTCACAACAAGCTCCAATGAAAAAGCACTTGCATCATAATAAACAGAAAAAAATATTACTTACTATTTATCCAACTGGATTCTTTTTAATGCCACCTTTTATCACTGTGTTTTTGTGGTGGAATTTGGAGCTGAGTTGAGGGGAGGGGTTTCTAGAGGCTCTAAATAAACATACTATGCTGATCAGCTCCTTATGTCATTTTGGTTCCTTGCACCTGACAGTTTTAGTGTTTATATCAGATTCTGCATTTTTTTTTCTGTCACTCATACATACTGCAATTGTATTTTGTTGTCCATCTTTGGAATTAGGTGTAACAGTTTGGCCAGTTTGTTACCTTAAAAAAAAAAAAAAAGAATGTTGCATTTGGCACATCAGTAAAAGAGGGTTATCCAAGAAACAAACAACAACAACCACAAAAACAAAATATACTTCCCAAACATCCAGAAAATTATGTTTTGATGATAATAGTTACAAAAACTGTTTTTAATAAGACCACAAATAAATAATTTTTGCATCATTATTAAACTTACATTGCTTTTTATTTTTATTTTATTTTACTTTTATTTCCCTGTTTAAATGCTAGAATATGTTAACCTTTAAGGTGCCTTGGTTACCAGCACCACATACAAAAATAAATAAAATTAAGAAACAGCCATGGCTCTTAATGCTATTTACTTTATTCCATATATTGCTTATTCTATCATATTACTGAAATGAGATGTATATTTGATTATATGATATTGCATATTTAAAATGTACCAGAAATAATATGAAGTAATAAGAAATAGCAATAAGTATTTTGGTGACAAGAACAGGCATGATCTGTTCTATAATATTTTAACAGAAAAATCCCACTATTTTTCTATATATATAGAGTGTAACTGATTTGGCAGTCTGCTTAAGGGAGGCGGTTAATGACTCCTTATGGGGAGGGATACATTCCATCAACTTTCTACTAATAGAGGCAGTAATAGGACCATTTACTGAAGAAAAGCTCCTTTATTATTCCAAATTATAGGCTAGTCTCAAATATTCCTTTTTTGGGGGGTGGGTAGTGACTGAGAGTGATATTGTGGTCCCCAATGCCACATGTCTCAATAACACTGCTTTTCTGGATACTTTTCAGTATGGCTTTCAACTAGGCTAAAAAGCTGGAGAATGGCTGCTTTGAGGTGCGGTGTTGACTCGTAAAACTTTGAATGGCTTAGGGCCTGACTATCTAAGGGACAACTTTCTTGTTATGAATCTATTAAGATTGACAAGTGAGGCCCATTTGAAGATACCCCTGGCTTTCCTAGGCTTTCAGATATAGAGAGTTATTAGACTTCTGTAAGCTATGATAAGTGGAGGTGGAGGGGAGGAAGAATAGATTCCAAGGAATTCAGTTGAATAAATTTCTTAGCAAAATCAGTGAAGAATGTTCAAGAATAGAGTTGTTGTTTTCCAGAAGAGAGATTGGCCATTTTTTCAGTTTCCACCAATCAAGAAATACTATTTTGGAAGCAATCTGGAAAAAAATTTCCTTGTTTCCAGGGGATGTATGATTCATATTGAGTCATGAAATTCTTAAATTTTCTGGCAAGGAACTGAAGTAATGTACAGTTAGTCCTTGACTTATGACCATAATTGAGACCAAAATTTCCATTGCTAAGCAGGACAGTTGTTAAGTGAGTTTTGCTCCGTTGTGTGACATTTCTTGCCACAGTTATTAAGTAAATCGCTGTAGTTGTTAAGTTAGTAACATGGTTAAGTGAATCTGACTTCCCCATTGCCTTTTTGTCAGAAGATTGCAAAAGGTGATCACGTGACCCCAGGACACTGAAACCGTCTTAAATATGTGTCAGTTGTCAAGTATCTGGATTTTAATCATGTAACCATGGGGATATCATGCCACAATAGTTGTAAGTGTGAAAAACGGTCATAAGTCACATTTTCAGTGCCAATGTAATTTCAAAGGGGCACTAAACTAATGGTAGTAAGTCAAGGACTGCTGGTAATTTTGGAAACTGTACAAAAATTAGAAGTTGCTAAATATAGCCCACTAGCTCTATAGCCGTGCTTCACTACGAAACT